CCAGAAGGAGGTGTCCCGTGAGCAGCCTCCTCTCCCAGAAGGAGGTGCTCCAGGAGGAAGCACCTCGATGATGACTGTAGTGTTCCAGCGTAACTTACTATGGTGTCTGTTTCTCTCTCACCAGACAGCAGCTCCACGGTGAGACAGACCACCTCACACGCCAGAACATGCTGAGCACCTACAATATTTGAAATTCTAGGACACATGTATGCATTTGCATGAATGTGTATAAGGTTTGTTAACTTCAAATGAATAAATAAATGGATGGACTAGATGGCCCATATGTAAGCAGTTTAACAACTAAGTCCACAAAGGGCCTATTTATGGCACCTGTAGACCAAAGGCTGCTAGCATCAGAGGCCTTTAGAGTCTCTGAAAGTCAGAAGCTTTCAGCCAGCGTTCCGTTTCTGCCACTGCATGCTTTCCTGAACTCATCTTCAGTACAGTGAGGCTGCCTGACCTAAGACCGCACTGCTGGGGAAATGAGGGGCTGTACAGGGAGCAGCGAGCAGAACTAGGCTGCAAGCCACCAGGATACCAAGGCGCTGATGTGCAAGCTTGGAGTTGTAGACTTCAAGACAAGGGTCTTAGAGCCAGGGCTTTAGAGGACCAGGAAGACTGAGACACTGGGCGCAGGCAGGCAATTAAAGGAAAGGGCCCTGGGACACCGGCTAGGGTGGAGGACATGGCACAGTGCTGAGAGTCCAGCTAGAAGGAAGACAGAGTGGAGAGGAAAAGAACACAGGAGACAGACAGCTCAGGAGTGTGGGGCTGAGTTACTGCCAAGACGAATAGATCTAGAACGAGAAGCCCCTGATAGCTCATCTTCCAAGGATCTCCATACCCGTAGGTGTTCAACCGCCTCTACAAGGACATCCCTGCTGCAGACCATGTACCCAGCCAATTCTACTGGATTTAATTCTAAAACCAATAACTTTGGGTAGTGGAGAGTCACGTAAAATATCTTCCCCCTTTTCCCCTGAGAAAGGATAAAGGCTGTGTACTGGGTTCTTAAGTGAAGCTCAGTTCTTCCAGCGGCCGTAAGGCCCTAATCTTCACTTTCCTTCGCTGTTTGGTGGTGATGCCCACCTCAGACAGCCATTTGGAAGGTGACGTTAGATCGTGGTCATCAGGTGGCACACACTGTTCTGAGCACAGAATGAACTGACCCTTCCGTCCCCTCCAAATGAAGCCCAGCGGGCCCATGTGGGAGTGCAAATGGAGATGGGAAAGACCTGCATCGCTCACGCAGTAGGGAATAAGGCACACGTCTGGGTTGGCTAGTATCCAGGGACGGAGTGGGGACACACCTCCCGCACCCCACCACCCTCATCCACGTGCCTGGTGCCCCGCACTAGGCTGTGTTAGTACCTTTCTCACCACATTTGGAGAGGAGTGCTGGGAGGTGCTGTCCACTGGGGGGACACTGTGAGGAGTTTCTTCCCCGGATGTCTGAGGCAAGGCCGCAGCAGTATTCTTGTCGAGGGGCAGAGCTGGCTTTGGGCCCTCGGGTGCTGGTGGCTCCTCTGTAACCTAGAAAAGGAATAATGACCTTGGATGGGTTTCCCACAAAGAACAGCAGCAGGGGCTAGGGCCCACTGAGCTCTGCCCTGTCACTGTTTACGTACCATGAATGAATTAAATTTTCTCAAAAAGGAAAATAATTTGGGTTGGGGAAATGGCACAGTCAGTAAAGTGCCTGGCAAAGACCTGAATTCAGAGTCCCAGCACCCACATAGAACTTGGGGATGAGCCACCGTCTAAAGCCCAGAGCTGAGGTAGTGGGCAGAGAAAGGCTCATTGGCCGGCCAGCCAGCAAATCTGTGAGTTCTTAGTCTAATGAGAAATCCTATCCTAAAAATTAAAGCAGAGTTATCAAGGAAGATAGCCAGTGACAACCTCTGACCTCTATGAACACCGGCACACAAATGCCTGTGCACCCTCACATACACAACCCCAGACATCCACATATCTGTATACCCACACAGACATGTGCATACAAGGCACACACACACACACACACACACACACACACACACACACACACCTTATTCAGTCTCTTCCTAAAACTATAGTACCATAGTCTTAGGATAGAACCATAGTCTTAGGATAGAACCCAAACCAAGAATTCTGCGCTAACTCTGTGACGTTCGCTTTAACAACTTTACATGTGGTTTTTGTTTGTTTGGCTGGTTGGCTGGCTAGTTGGGTAGCTGACTGGTTAGTTTGGCTTTGATCTGGATTTATTTCATTGCTATTATGGTTGCGGTGCTAGGAATCAAACCCATGATAGCAAGCACTTAACCTATCACCGAGACTCACCCTCAAATCTGCAACAGTTTGCACTAACATTTAGCTGTGGTCCTCTATGAACGCTGGATTCTGCTCTGCCATCACAGGGAATATTTTACATCTCTTCAAAGGAATTAAGCCTCAGGAGAAGACACCTAAAGCATTATCTAAAGTCATTCCTGATGAAGCATGAACGTGAAGCCTTATGTTTTATAATAAAAGTCTCTGGAGCCTCTCTGGAGAGGTGTAACCATAGATTTAAAGGAGACACTACCATGGAAAATGTGAGAAGGGATGGGGACAAAGGCCAGAACAAGAGATCTAGAAAAAAAGATCTAGAAAAAAATTAGGAAGTATAAATTAAGATGTGAAACGGCAAAGATCCCAAAGACACAAATGCACTCACTCAATCATCTTGAGAAAAGAGAGGATCAGCATTCAATTCTCCAATATTCCCTACACAGAGATCAGAGCCTCTTCCGTGGCGTTATAGACAAATCAGCAGACCTGGGCCCCGGTCTTAGCCCCTCCTCTCAAAACTCTATATAGTCTCGAAGCAAACTGCTTGCCCTCACCAGCCCTACTGCACCTACAAGCTACAGATGGCACCATCTGTTGGTATGGCATTCCATATGTGTGCATAAAACATATCAAGCTTTGCAGACATAAAGTCAAAATATTCCTTGGAGTGATGTAAAAGTGCCAGCAACCAAGGTCTAATGCCACCCTCGTTCCACTCCTTGAGCTCTCCCAAGTCCCTACCAGGTATGCCTAAGTTCCCAGCAAGGGAGCTTGAAAGAGTTCACAGATAGGAGCGATTGCCCCCTTATCCTGACCCTGGAAGGGGTCTGGCAACACATCTACTGGGCTTGAGTACATGCTGCTCTCCATGAATACATGAGAACCTAAGGTCAATCCTCCAGAATCCACATAAAAAAGCCAAGAATATCAGTGTGTGCCTATAACCCCAGTGCTTGGAATGTGGAGATGGGTGGATCCCTGGAGCTTTCTGAACAGCCGGCTGAGCCAAGCTGGCAAGCTCCAAGTTCAGTAAGAGACTCTGTTTCAAAAAAAAAAAAAAAGGACAGCAACAGAGGGAGATGCCCAACATCAACCCATAGCTTCTCCATAGACTAACCCCATCTTCCCCCCTCCTTTTTCTTTCTCTCCTGTCCTCTCTTCCCCCAGTACCTTTTTGTTTTCAAAGGTTCAATCTATGGACAAAATCCCCAATGTCACCCCAGGGGATAGGGCTAACCCAGGCCACTCTAGAGGACTCTGAGCCCAGATCTCTACAGACCACGTACTATATCCTCCACAACTTTGCTGAGCTCAGGGTTAATGTGAGGGCTTAGCTGAAGACCACGCTTAGATGAAGGGACCAGATGCTGTGTGCCCTGAGAAGTCCTGGGATGACAGCTCACCTGCAGGGAATCCTCTTGGCTCTGGGACTGGACAGGTGCTGGCTGCCTGACAATGTAGTTGATCTGCCCCACGATGGTCTGCTGCAGATGCTGAGGAGACTTGGTCTGACTCAGCTGCAGGCTGGGCTGTTGAGCCTGCAGGAGGAGTTCCAAGTCCTTCTGCATCTCCTCCAGCTCAAACTTGTGATGCATAATGTCCACGTTCTGGGAACAGGCAGGCGCAGGAGGGCTCTCATGTTGACTGGAAGCCAGGTGCTGGGATGGAGGCAAGGGTGGCGGTGCGTGCTGGGTGGGTGGAGGAGGTGGAGGTGGGGGTGGTGGCTGCTGCTGTGGCTGCTGCTGAAAGTGGCCGAGCTTCAGTTTCTGGTGGTGGCCCAGCTGAACTTGGATGGAGGGTGTCTGTATGGCGGGCTGGGCATGAGCTCCCGCCTGAACGTCTTGCGGAGGGACGATGCACACAGGCTGGGAAATCAGCTGCTGTCCTGGCCGCTGGGATGTACTCTCCTGGTCTGCGGGAGGCGGTGGTTCTAACCAGGGCTGCAGCAGCTTTGGTGGATGGGGACTGCAGGCCAGTTCTTTCTCCCTGGGCAGCAGGGTGGAACACTGCAGTGACCCCAGCTGGTGGGACACCATTTCGGAGGGCTGCCGGAAACCGTGAGCTGGGTGGATACTGGGTGGGGCGACCTGGCCTTTGAGGGAAGGTGAGACTGGGGAGCAGTGGGAGCAGCAGACAGACGAGGAGCACAGTGCTGGAGGCTGGAACTTGTGTGGGGGGTGACTGAGAGACTCCTGCTGAGCCATGGGGGCCTGGTGGCCCTGATACAAGGATGATGACCCCTGTAAGCTCCCATAAGCGGCTGCAGCATCTGCCCGGGACAGCTGCCCACCCTCAGTGGTTATGCAGCCTGGAGATGGAGAACAGAGAGATCCCAAAGGTAAGACACAGCTGCCCTTTTTGCTACTCTCTGCTCCCAGGACCAAAGACCAGCATTCAGCAAGCCCAGTCAGCCACGGAGATGAACTTCCACCTCAGGCCTCCAAGACTCTGTCTAGAGTTCTGCCAGGAACAACGCCCACAGCAGCTCACTCTAGGGACCGTGGGTATTTGAGGAACTGGGTCAGCTTTTACTAATCGACCAACCTTTCTACCTGACTGGGAAACCTACAAGCTCTTCACACTCCTTTCAGTATAGCAGCCCAATGGACTTGCTGAAAGAATGCACATGGGGTTGGAAAGGGAGTGTCTTGGAAAACAACAAAGGGTGCACAGTAAGCGTCTAGGTGCAGATCTGAGAAACTGTTGGGTAGTACGATGGAAGAGCCCATGCCAGGTTGGCGCCAGTCACCAGCACTGCTGTTGGGTTGCTGTGGTGGCATCATACCAAGTGCTTTCTGTCTACTGCCCCTTCGCCCAGTGTTCTATGAAGCTGGCCTAGGAGACTGAGCTCCTCGAAGACAGAGAATGTGTCTGATTCACCTGTGGTCCTGTCGTGCTCAGCACCGGACCTCACCCGGGGCAACTGCTGAGTTAAGTAAAACAGGAGGGGGCAGGGAGAACTAAATCTGGAACTGGAGATACAGTCCACTTGATAGCCTGCTGGCCTAGGTTCCCCCAAACCATAAATTGGGTATAGTGCTGCACACCTGTAACCCCAGCACTCAAAGGGGAGGTAGAATCAAGAGAGCTAGAAGTTCAAGGCCACCCTCTGCTATTTAGTGAATTGGAAGCCAACCTAAGCTACATGAGACATGAACAGAAGCATATCTAGTACCATTGATTTGTCAAGTTCAAAAAATTTTCAATGAGATTAACAGCTTAGAAGCAGAGCGGCAGTTGGTAGTTAGTTTCAATAAGCCCAGTATGTTGTCAGCACAAACATATCTTCATGTCTACACTGAGTGGAGACTGACTGACAGAAATTACAGCAGAGAAGAAAAATGCACAAGGCCATTAATCTCCTGTTTGCACTCAGCCCAAAGGAGGAGTGTGTAGCTTGTACCCTCACACGTATGCCCTGTGTCACCTCACGGACATGTTCACCTGAACTGCCATACAGCATTCAGGAGAGGAGAGTCACTGTCTGGTCACCTCTCCAGCAATGAAGTTGAGGTAAAAGGAGCAACATTCATGCAGAAGAGGAAGTTAGTGTTTTAGGTAGTGCTGGGGTCCCACACTGCCGTTATTAACCCATCCTCCCCACTTCTACTCAAGGAAAGGTTTGATGACTGACTCCATGATCCCTGGCAGTCTCGAGAGCCCTTCCTCCTGGGCATATGGTGAGCCACCTAGGAAACACGGCAGATTGCCTGTACTTATTCTTAGCTAACAGGCCAAAGGTCACAGCTCACCAAGAGAAGCCAGCTGCTTGGTCCAGAAGTTGGGCTCCCAGGTGAATCTGATACTCCAAGGAGAGCCGGGATCTGTGTTACAGCTGGTCTCCAGCAGCCGCTGCATCTGGAACACAATCTGACAACAGTACCATTTATTTGGGCATCTGTCTGTGTGGCAAATCCTACTTACTAGGGCTTTGGACTGGTTAAAGGGCCCCAAGTTGTGTCCCTCTGGCCTCTGGTCATCCTCCGTAGTCTCAGTTCCCTGTCCCCGTCTAATCTTCCCAGCCAGTGATCTTCCTCTTCCCCGGGCTCTGGAACCCTGCATTCGTATCTCTTCCAGACCTCAGATGATCTCTAACTGCCTGGCATCCCAGGTACCCTACCAGCACCTCCTTCAAAATCTGTGGCGACCTCAGAGCCGGCCATTGCTCTGCCTCTCCCACACCACCCACTGCCATCCTCCTCTACCATGGCTCTCATCTGAGGCCCCGACCGCTCTCCCATTGCTTGGGGCTTGGCCAAGTATCCAGTCATACCCGGCCATCATCTGGTTCACACCTGGCCATCATCTGGCTCACACCCAGCCATCATCTGGTTCACACCCAGCCATCATCTGGTTCACACCCGGCCATCATCTGGTTCACACCCAGCCATCATCTGGTTCACACCCGGCCATCATCTGGCCCTAGACAACTAGTGACCCAATTGACATCTTGGCCTCTTAAGTCTTTGTTTTGTTTTGTGTTTTAGTTTGTTTTGTTTTGGAGACAGGGTCTCACGTATCCCAGGCCTTCTTCAAATCTACTGCATATTTTTTTTTTGATTTTTGAGACAGGGTTTCTCTGTAGTTTTTGGTGCCTGTCCTGGAACTAGCTCTTGTAGACCAGGCTGGCCTCGAACTCACAGAGATCCGCCTGCCTCTGCCTCCCGAGTGCTGGGATTAAAGGCGTGAACCACCACCGCCCGGCCCTCTACTGCATATTCAAGGATGACCTGCACTTCTTCTCATCCCCTGCATGCACCAGCGTACCTGGTTTACGGAGTACTTGGAATCAAACCCAGGGCTTTGTACATGCCAGGCTAACTCTACAAGTGAGCTGCATCCCCAGGTTCCATTCTTGATTCCTTTTGTTTGTTTTTTTAGATTATATTTTATTTTAATTATAAAATTTATCCCTTCCCTTTCCTCCCTCCAAGTCTTCCCACATACCCATCCCTGCTCTGCTTCAAATTCATGTCTTCTTTTTCACTGTTATTATATGCATATATGTAGTATTTGTATATCCATACATATTCTCAGATACAATCTGAGAATTTAATATATAATGTTATATATATATACATATATATAATGTTACTTATATCATTTTTATTTCTTTAATGTCAATCAACTTCCACCTGTTCTCAGCTCAGCCACTACACCTACACCTCATTCATCATCTATCTGTGAGGCCATAAACAACGGCCTACTTCCTGATTAGAAGGTGCTCCTACTCCCCTGGAACATGCTCTTCAATCTCACTGCACTCTGAGGGCCATTCTAGCCGTTCACAGTCTCCCCAGCTCCCCATCATCTTCAGGTTCCATGTCACTAGGGCCCTAAGTTTCTACCGACCACCAATTCCCAACTTCAGGTCGATCCAGCTATGCTAAAGTCTTGTTATTCAGCTGCGTTATCTAAGGCCGTGGAAGTGACCGCTATTTTCAAGGGCACACTTGGAAGTTCCCTCAGCCTCCTCACTTCCTTTATCATGGTCCTCTTCCACTGCTACACCCTGCCGTTTCACCCAGTCACTAACCCTCTACTTATTTATGACTTTGCAGTTCACAGAGGATAAGAGAGACCACAAAAGGCAGATGCTCCAGGAACTGAGGATGTAGCTCGGTTAGTAGTGTCTGCCTAGTATACAGGAAGCCCTAAGTCCAACACCCAGCACTGCATACGCCCAGCATAGTGGCGCATGCCTGTAGTATCAGCATTCGGGGGACACAAGTCATCCTAGGCTACAGAGTGAGTTTGAAGCCAGCCTGGATTGTATCATAGAAATGACAAAAGTCCAAACTCTTCAAACAGGTTCCCTTCGCCCTTACCCAAGACCAACAGACACCCTCTGGCTCTCACTCTTCCCCAGGGTGCTCACCCCACCCACCCCGCTCTGTTTTACTGTCATCCTCTCTCCCATAGAGAAGTGCAAATGTTTTCCAGACTTAAAAAGTCTCCCCCAGCTCTGCCTCCTTCCCAATTCCTGGTCCCTTCTCGCGCCTAACTCTAGCCTCACCTCCACGCTCACGCTCGCTCGTCTGACTTCTACCTTCCTGCTTTGCTGGAACTTTCTTACACAGTCACCAGAGACCTCTGCACTGCCAGCTTTCAAGGTGACTGGGCGTGTCCATCCTGTCTCGCCTCTGTAGGATGGTCAGCACAGTCCTCAATTTGAGCTCCGTGGACATCTGTGCACTCTGTGTCCCTGTCTCTCCTCCACACTCTAGCTGTGCTTCTCGGTTCTCACCGTCTGCCCCTCTGCAGAAATAATGGCATTCCCTGGTTTCAGATTTGTTCTCTTCTCCACGATGCTGCCATGGTGACTGTCCCAGTAATGCCTCCTCTTAATCTCCAGCCCTGACTCTTCTGAAGTCCAGACCCATCTAGTAAGCCAGCCTTTTGGCCACCTCTTTTCAGATGCCCTCCAGACACCTTAGAGTCAGTACCACTGTCTTTTAAAGCCCATTCTCCTCTAGCCTGGAGTGTAGCACTCAGGGGAAAGAGACAGGAGGATCTCAAGTTTGAGGTCTGAGGAGCTACCTAGCAAGACCCTATCAAAAACCAAAACCAACACTTCCTTCTCCTGGGCATCACAAGCTCAAGACTTCAAGATCTTCTCCAGTCCCTGTTTTTCTTGCTCTCCTGCTTGGAATCTAGTAACTAGCTTTCTGTGAGATCTCTGAACACTGCCTGTGCCCAGGACAATGTGTGAGTCCGTGAGAACCACAGGCCTTCCTGGCTGGGTGAGCAAGATCGTTTCTGCAGCTGGGTCCCTTGTGTTATAGGACCTGGTAGAAAATGACATTTGCTTACTAACCCAAAGCCATGGCTGGGTCTGAAGAACTCAGGACCTGCTATCTTACTCCTCTTTCCTTCTAAAACCATGCACTTCCAAGGATAGCCCCTCCCCTTGCAATGCAGGTTCTGTTCCGGTCTGTTTTCAGGCTAGCTGCAGGGACAGGCTTCCTCTTACCAGCTCTTTGCTGAAAAGGAAAGGGACACTGGTTTTGCTGCAGACGGCCCAGTTGATGAAATTCTGCACATGCTCAAACTGCCGGTTGAGAACCATGATGCTCTGTAGCTGCTGCTCCAGCTTCCGCTTTCTCTCATTAGTGATGCCCTGGTGCACAGAGAAAAGAGTCCCTGCTGAAGCCCGGGGGCCTATTTGGGAAGTCTAGTGGCCACTGATGGCATCTGATAAGAGAACTGAAAATAGCCTTGAGCTGGTTGCTGGTGGGTGGAGAAAGGGAGAAGAGATAGTGAGAGATTCCACAGCACAAATGTGGAATGGTGGCAAATGGAAAAAACGTGAATGAGTGAATGGCTACACCTCTTGCATTCAGCCTTCCGAAGAAGGCACAATCAGACTCTGTCTTAAGACCTCCCTGGCGTTGTTAAGGGTGGCAGCTACCTGAGAGGCATGGAAGGCATCAGTGAGAGGCTGAACTGGTTTCCCAGTCCTTAACAAGCCACTCTCCCAAAATTAGACTAGAAATTTTAAATACAGCATGCAACAAAACGCCGCAACGACTATGTATCTGAATCCTAGCCCTGGCGTCTGACCCAGGAGAACGAGGATGCACCCGCCGGGTCCATCTGTGTACACATACCTCCAGCTCCTCTATGAGCCCGTTGGCCTGTTTGTTCAGCTCATTCATCAGGACCATCTTGGCCATTTTGATCTGGTTTTCCACCTTCCTATGCTGATGCTTCACTTCAAAAATCCTGGAAACAGGATGGGACAAACAGTGATCCCTCTCTGCTTGCTGGGAGATGGCAAACAGAAAAGCTGGCAACTTGGGAGCTACCTTGAGATCAGAGCCAAGCAGGCATCAAAGAAGAAGGACCTTTCTCGGTCCCATTCACTCTCCCTCCCAGACCCCTTGGTCTAACTGGGCCTCCTCTAGGAAGCCTCGGGTCCACCCAGTAGCTCACCAGGTGGCACAGTACTGTGGGATATATAGATATGATTTCATATTGTCCAAAAGGAAGACACATGGGTACAGGGACTAGAGGCTTCTGAGGACTGGGCAGAGTGGGAGGTGGAGGGATGTGACCAGCAACATAAGGGTTTCCGTTAGGGTGATGGAAACGTTCAATTACACAGTTCTGTGAAATGCCAAAAACCGATGCATTACACATTTTAAAGGCCTTAGTTTATTATATCTCATTAAAAATATTTAAGAGAAAGTTTAAGGTAACTTTGAAGTTACTGCAGTCCTAGCTTCCAAGTTGATTAGCCATGTTAGCTCAGATGACAACCTCTATGAACCTCTGCCTCCTCATCAGTAAAATGAAGATAAGCCTTGACTGAAAGAATTATAATAACTGAACAAAACAATGCATGTTTCCCAACCCACTGGTTCCCAATTCCTAACCCTTGCTATACAAAACACCAGTGCTGCCATGCCATTTAACTTATTTAAATGGGTAACAAGAAGGGACAGATGATGACTAACTTGTTGCTATCCCACAATATACAGCACTTCCTTTTCCAAAAGCTACTTACTATGTACCCTTGTTCTCGGGTACTCATTTCCGGCTGATTCATAAAGCACGGAACCCAGGTCCAGCCTCACTCTGATCACCTTGAACTAGCTGGCCCTAGTCAACAGCTGATATCCCAAAGACAGCTCACCGGCACTGAGACCTCTAAGGGATGGACATGTACACTTATCTGCCTAACCACATCTTCCTCCGTGGACCATCTGGACGCTGGTACCCGAGCCCAGGTCATGAGAGAGCAGAGCATTTTCGGCACTAGCCAGATCTGGCCTAGGCTACCTGTCCTCGATTTGCTTCGCAGATGTCTGCAGGCTGGATTTCTTATGTGCCACCTGCGTGGTCACGCTTTCCAGAAGCATCCTCTGGTTCTGTAGAACTTCTTCAACATGCCTGCACCTAAGGGAGGAGACAAAGCAGGAGCTGAGGAGTGCTGGCTTCTCTCCTGAGCAGCCAGCACCCAGGAATCCCATGGCGCATTGTCTCAGCCTTAGAGGCCAGGATTACACACTGGGAGAGACAAAAGTCTCTTAGGCCATCAGGAGGCTTTTAGAGTCGTCTCACGAGAAGAGAAACACCGTGGCCCAGCTGCTGCAGGTTGACGTGGGCAAGGAGAGGTTTTGTTGTTGTTTTGTTTTGGTTTTTGAGACAGTTTCACTATGTAAGCAAGGTGTCCTCCGCGTCACCATGTCGCCTTGGATGTCACCTAAACTCACCACCATCCTCGCTCAGCCTCCCAAGTGTTGAATTACAAATGAATGTCACCATAGCCTGCCTCGGAGAGAGGGTGACACCTCAGCAGGCCAGAGCGAGCCTCCCAGACCGCCCCCCCCCTCCCCGGGACAGTCCACCGGTCCCACCTGTGCTCTTTGTGCTCCACCATCAGGCAGCTGTGGCAGGTGAGCACATCACATGTCTCACAGAAGAGCTTCAGCACTTCCTGTGTGTGCAGAGGGCAGTACAAGGCGAAATCCCCAGAGCCGCCGTTCACCCCTGCGAGAGAAGACTCGTGCAGACCTTTCTGCTAAGCTTTGCTGAGCCCCCCTCAGCCCTCCAGAGACGCGGCACAGACACAGAGCATGGGGCAGGAGATGCGAGCCGGAGAGGTCTCTCTTGGGAACACTGAGACTCGGGCAACGGGAAGAATTCAAGCTTAGCCTGATTTGCTCAGCTGTCCAGAAACTTCACACTCTCGCGCCCCAGTGTCCACCCCCTGCCAGGGGTGAAGAAGGCACTTGCTCCTGCTCCAGGGAGCTCTCTGGCACAGTGGGAAACCCTCCTAAATGAGCCTAAGCCTCTTCACTAACCAGGATTCTGTGTCGGTGTGGCTAACACCAGCTACTCAGCTTTGCGGGGCTTCAGACTAGTTCATGTGATGAACTGTCTGCTTTCAGTGGGCCAGACACATATCACACACACACACACACACACACACACACACGCGCACACACACACACACACACACGCACGCACACACACACACACACGCACACACACACGCACGCACACACACACGCACACACACACGCACGCACGCACACACACAAGTCAAGGGCCCCAGAAGACTTTCTCAAAGACTGTTGATTAAAACAGATGGTGCAGGACAGACTAAAGGGCACGAGTGGACCCGACTGTTAAATCTCCGATGTGAGGCATATTGCTCTAAATAGGAGTGGAAGGTGGGAGCTCAGCTAGCTTCCATGATTCAAGATCATGCTCCCAGCGCCAGCTCACCCACACTCACCCGCCCCCAGCCCAACAGTGAATGGCTAGACTGAGTCACCCCTCTGACTCTGAGGGAGATATTCTGCATTTGCAAAAGACTCGGAAACCATCCCCACTGAGATGGCTGAGAAACGAGGTCAGAATACTATTCTCCAGGCACTTGAGGGTTCAGCACAGAAGAAACACGGGGGGGGGGGGGGGCTGTACCTGAGGATCCCTTCTGTGTCCGTGCAAAGAGTGGGCCCCCTGGGGCTGGGACATGCCGGTGTTCCTCTGTGCAGGAGCTGCACAGCCAGCGGTTGCAGTAGGTGCAGAGGATATGTGCCGCCCTCTTCTCCTTGCATTCAGAGCAGTTCTGGAAGCAGAGAGCCCAAAATCGGTGACCCTGTTGTCACTGGGGTTTACAGCTGCAAGCAGCAAATGCCCTCCTGACTGGGATTCTGGTGGAATGTTTTCCCAGAACCGAGGAGTACTGTCCAGTGGAGGGCACCCTCTGTGACAGAAGGAACAGTGGCTATCTTGCACTAAAGTTAAGGAAACCCAGTAATCCAAGGCTTCCCCCCTCCCATCAAGGCATACACAGCTCAGGCAGGGTGACACCTTTTAAATCGATAATGCTGCGATAAAAAATACATGACAAGTGCTAAGGACACATGCAAAAGGAGGCTTCTAAGAACTAGGCCTAAGGGTGGCAAGGAACTTTTTCATCAATAGGACACATCTAAGTTGAATGCTGAATGGCAAGTAGGTAGATGAAGGGGAAGTCACAACAGAGGAAAATCTCATGCAAAAGCTGAGCGTCCAATGTCTTCAAAGGAGAGAAAGTCTAAGATGTCAGGGTACCCAGGGAGATGAGTCCACCCAGCCGAGAGAGCACATGAAGGCTGGCTTCAGAGCTGTGCTCCACCTGCAGCCTGCCCAGCCTAAGATCCCTCCTCACCTCCAATAGTTTGGTCATTTGTGGTGATATTTTGTTTGTGCTGAAACAAATAAAGCTGCCTGAAGATCAGAGGGTGGAGCTAGCCACACTAGTCAGCCTTAGAGGCCAGGCGGTGGTGGTCCACACCTTTAATCTCAGCACAGAGGCAGACAGATCTCTGTGAGTTCAAGGCCACCCTGGGCAACGCGAGATTGAGCCAGTCTAAAAGAGAAACAGAGCCAGGCGATGGTGGTCCACACCTTTAAGCCCAGTACTAGGAAGGTAGAGATGGAAAGGGATATGGTTGGGCGGAGGGAGGAGTATAAGCAGGAGTAGAAAGAGCTCAGGATTTAGTCTGGGGACTTGTAGAGACAAGACACCCCATTTGGTCCGAGGATTCGGTAGAGGTAAGAACTAGTGCCTGGCTACTCTGTTTCTCTGATCTTTCAGCTTTCATCCCCTAATATCTGACTCCAGGTTTTTATTAATTAAGACCAATTAGAATTCATGCTACAGTCACTTCATCAGCAGATACGATGCTACGTCTGATGGGAGCCATCATGAAATGAGGAGATGTGGGAAACGTTACCTAGTCCATCCTTAACTCACGCAATCCGCTAAACTGCTGTGGATTGAGAAGGCTTCACGAACTTCCCTATGGAGGTCTTAGAAGCAGAACACAAGTTAACTCCCAGGGAGCAACACACATTCAGGAAGAACTGATACAGGAAAAAGTAAATAAACCAGTAGGAGAGTGAGAAGCAGTGATAAGGCCGCGTCTGTAGAGAAACAGGAGGTGTTGTGTCGGCGAGGGCTGAGAATCAGCTCAGAGCTGTGACACAGGAGGAAAATGCCAGTTAAAGCTAAGCTGGTGTGTGAAATCCCAACTCAGGGGGAAGATAAAGAGAGAGAAAGAGCCTACTACTGATATTATCTGTAAGAGCCATGAGAGAAAAAAAAAACACTGAAATAAATTAAGTAATGTTTAATAGATCTTAAGATACCTTCAATTTCCACTCAAAGCATGTAAATTTCACCTAGTAGAAAACTATGCTGCTTCTCCTAATTCAAACATGTTTTATTTCCTTCTTGCGTGGATGGGTGGATACATCAGTGTGTGGATGGGTAGATGGATGGGTGGATGGATGGGTGGATAAATGAGTGGGTGGATGGATGGATGGATGAATGGATGGGTGGATGGATGGGTGGATAGGTGGATGGGTGGATGGATGGGTGGATAAATGAGTGGGTGGATGGACGACGGATGGGTGGATGGATGGGAAAACTGATGGAACCACAAGCCAGTGATAAGTGGCTAGACCTATAGATGGGGGCTTCATCAATTTCTGTAAACCACCACCTGTCTATTCCATTGTCCTGACTTACCCTGGCCATTGTGGGTTGCCCAGGGGGGAAGTACTGAAGAAAAATATGCTCAGTTACATCTCTGGTAAGATACACTCGTTGACATCCAGGACAGGAGATGAGCTCTGGAGGGGAAGATAGACAATGGAGTCAAACAACAGAGTGGTTATTCATACGGCCTAGAAAGGGGCTTTCTCATACCCAGCATCAACATACGGGCAATATTTCCTCTGTGCCAACATGATCTCTATTCAATAACACAGCCCACAGTTAGCATGAACATGACCATCCCACCAGAGGCCAGCCCTACAGACCGTCCATTTGGTCTCCTCCCATCCCTGTCTTTGCCTAATCTACCTTCCTCTCTTCCCTAGGAGCCGGGTTACCACAGACTCAAGCCTCTGCTTCCTGATGCTTCAGTTCTTCATTCTAAAGCCCTGAGGTCCCAGTTCCGTGACTTTGGAGGGTTAGCATAGCTGTCCAGAGGACAGCACAGTCATTAATGTTCCCATGTTACCCAGATCCCAAAGCTGGAGCTTCCAGTTCTCTAGCCAGAAAAAGAACAGCCCCGCCCCCTGTCTGCTCACATAAAGGTGCTTTTCATTGGTTTAACCAATACCAATAAGTCTGTTTCTGGGGCTCAGGAGCCTGTGGCTGGGCTGTTTCTACCCAGAGTCACAGACCATGTAAGGCGCACTATAAACATCACCTGTGAGCAGCCTGGTTCACTCCCTTTCCCAGAAGAATGCAACAGTTTCCAAACATTCCTTAGCATAGTGGGCATCTGAATTACACAAGCAGCAGGAGATGGTCACCCTGGAGACCACAGTGACTCTTCAGACCCACTCTAAAAACAGTTGAACCTCTGGGAACAAGTCTCTTGAGGAGGGCAAGGCACCTGTGTGCACGGATGAGGCTGGTGTGAAAAGGGACTGGTAGTAACAGGGCCTGTAGCAATATTGTCACAGTCTTCTCTGCCTCCTTCCATCAGTGCAGTAATGAACGCTACAGAGTCAATTGCTCTGCAATACACTCAGAAGAACTCAAGCCCAAATACCAGTTTTGCCACCCGGTGACCTTGGGCTTTGTCTCGACTGACTCACCTATGCCTATTTCATTGCATGTAAAACAGGAAGGGGAAAATGAGAGTTGCTTTGATAGGTAGGCATGGTGGGACACATCCACAATCACCAGCACTTGGGAATCTGGCGCAGAAGGCATCACAAAGTCAAAGGCAGTAGGGGCTACACAGCAGAAGCCTGTCACAAAAAGACAGGCTGGTGAGGTAACTCAGCAGGTGGAGGTGCTTGCCGCCACGTCTGAGATCCTGAGCTCTATCCCCTAAATCTACAGGTGGAAGGAAAGAACCAGTTCTTTCCAGTTGTCCTCTGACCTCTACATGTGTGCTCTAATAGAGTTGCTGTGGGAATTAAATTAGAAACATGTGCATGCCACCCCCACATACATGGACACAATGCACACATACACACACAAAAGGGGGGATCACTCTCTAACTCCACCCACTGAATCTATGACCAGACCTCAGGAGCCTGTGTGATTCTGCTCTTGCTCCTAGAATTCTCCAGCTACTCTGAAAAGTTGAACCTGGGACTCAGATTGCTGGAAGACAACAGACCTCCAGGAAAGAGACCATAGTTGTCTCAAACATTCCTTGTAAGACTACCCCAAACCGCTGGAGAGATGGCTCAGTGGTTAAGAGCATTGCCTGCTCTTCCAAAGGTCCTGAGTTCAATTCCCAGCAACCACATGGTGGCTCACAACCATCTGTAATAAAGCCTGGTGCCCTCTTCTGGCCTGCAGACAGAATACTGTATACATAATAAACAAATAAATAAATATTAAAAAAAAGAAAGACTACCCCAAACCAACCAGACCACGTGACCCACCAATCTAATGCAGGTACTGAAGTACAGCCAGGATCAGGCAAATTCAGCCCAGAGTGCCTGGAGAATTCCAGTCCAGATCACCAACCTGGAGAGCCACACAACAAAGAAAGTTGGTTTGATCACTAAGTTTTGGGGTGGCCTATTGCGCAGCAAAAATTCATCGTTACCATCTGTGAAACCCACAAAATCATATAAAAGAACAGCCCGTGCAGAGCCATGGATTTGAATGACAGAACTGCATCCTAATCCCTTGGGTACTTTTCCTGCTGGTCAACACTCTTGGCTGTCAGGTGACTGTCTCCGCCTTCAGAACAGCGATCTGAGTGTTGAAGGTTACCTCCACAGGACTCCCAGCTCCTGGTACCAAGTGATCAAACCTTAAAACCAGTAGCACAGCAGAGTGGGAAAGGAGGATGAACTGGGTGGTACAAATAAGGCCTCGTGGCACATCATCCGCTGTTCTTAGCCTTTAAGTCAAAACCCTTGTGTTGGGCATTCATTTTCAGCTTGGCCTTACCTCCCCCCAGCCTCATCTCTAGCTTCATCTGCCAGATGCCGTAGGTCTTTGGCATGCCGAGTATTTCTGCTGCCTCTGGATCAGCCAAACTTTCGCATGGCTCTGTCTGACAAAATGCTGTTCCTCCTTGAAATACTTTTCCTTGCCTCTGTCCTTTTCAGATAAGCTCCTATGCATCTTTTCAAGACTGTCCGGATGTTCCACTTTTGAGAAACGGGGCTGGTTTCCCCTAGGATCAGTCCATCAGTACCTCTAGTATAAGAAACGCCACATGGCATCTCAACTTCCTGTTCATGTCTACATACAGAAATTAGTCACACTTAGCGTCAGAGGACGGTGCTTGGTTTTTAGTAGATGGGACAATTGCACTTCATTTGCTGGCGTGCTCCTTGCATATCCCTGTACTCATGGCCACTTGGAAGAAGCCACCTGGAAGTTTCTGGGCAGTGGGGGAAAGTGCTCCTGAGATGACAATCGTGCTATCTGTAAACAAGGTTCTGCTACTACTATCTGGTTGTCACCCTGAGTGAGCACCCTCTATCCCTGAAGGTCACTGAGTTGTTAAAATGAGGGGTCTAGGCCTAGCAAGAGAGTGCTGATTACACAATCCTTTTCACGTGCTAACAGAGGCAGGGCAAGAGAGGACAGTCAGTCAAATGGCAACTGAGCTATCTATCCCCCTTGTCAGAAGTCAGGCGGGCCAGGCATGGCGGCACACTCCCAGCACATGAGAGACCAAGGAAGAGGATTGCCAGTGTGATTCCAGCCTCAGCTACACGGTGAGAAACTGTGTCAAACAAACAAATCAAAAGACAGAGAACGATGGACTGTGGTGAGGGGAGGCTGGAGCAGGGTCGGCCCTGGGGAGGGGCTGCTGGCTGGCAGAGCCAGAGAACAGCTATCTACACACTTCAGTTACCTCGTGAGTACAACGCTATTTACAGATAATGCTTATGTTAGAGGGGACTTGCTCTGAGACAAGGTCTCACATAGCCCAAGCTGGTCTCAAACTCAAAATGGAGCCAAGAATGACCTTGAACTCCTAGGGAGGTGGACACGCATGCTAGGGAAACACTCCACCAGCTGGACTACAAGAAGGATGTAGATGAAGTCTTGGCCTCCTAACCTATGTAGACCAGGCTGGTCTTGAATGTGACAGCGATTCTCCTGCCACTGCCTCCCAAGTGATAGGATTACAGGTGTGCATCAGCAAGTCCACCTATTTCACTGCATTTCACAACCAGAAACATCGTTCTTGAGACAGAGAAGACCATTAACAAAGACCACCTAGGAGGTGGGTCTTCTGTTTCCAGAATGAGGACGGCACCAGAGGTCTCCCTGTGGAACCTACTGGCCTGGGAGAACAGTTCTGAGAGCCACACCCCTCCCCTCTTTAAAGAGGGGGGGGGGGGGCTGGAGAGATGACTCAGTGGTTAAGAGCATTGGCTGCTCTTCCAGAGGTCCTGAGTTCAATTCCCAGCAACCACATGGTGGCTCGCAACCACCTGTAATGAGATCCGGCGCCCTCCTCTGGCTTGCGGGCATACATGGAGGCAGAATGTTGTATGCATAATGTAATTAGTTAATAATTATTTATTAATAAATAAATAAACCTTTTAAAAAAAGAAAAAGAGATGGGGCCATAATGCAAGTCTGTAATTCTAGCACTCAGGAGATTGAGGCAGGAGAATCTCAAGTTTAAGACCACACTAGGCTACAAAGAGAGTTCCAGAATAGCCGGCCTCCAAAGCTAAATAAATTTCTTTTTTTTTAAAAAAAAAACTTTATTTAACTTTATTTCATGCACATTGGTATAATAATGTCAGATTCTCTTGAATTGGATTTAAAGACAGCTGCGAGCTGCCATGTGGGTGCTAGGAATTGAACCCGGGTCCTCTGGAGGAGCAGTCAGTGCTCTTAACCACTGAGCCATCTCACCAGCCCCTAAATAAATTTCTTGTCCCTAGGAGGTGTGATCCAAATTGGCATCTACTTACCACTACTTCCTCTCCTGGCACCATGCATGTGTTATAGCATTCTTAATAGGTCTTATCTACATTCTATTGTGGAGACTGAGGCACTGAGAAGTTATAGCAAACTGAAACCCAAGACTGTTTGACTGTTGACCTTGAAGACCGTGTCCTTAGGCCAGGGAGGTGGCTGAACGCATGGAAGCTGACCACGCTGGCATGTATGTGTGGTCTCAGAACAACTCCAGGCAGACAGAAGGTGGAACCGATAGCATCCCCAGAAGGCAACAGGCCAACCCGGACTGTGCAGCACAGCCGCAGACAATAATAAGACCCTGACTCAAACAAGCTGGAAACTGAGGGCTGACACTCAAGGCCTCTTTCTGACCTCCACACATGCACCACAGTGTTCACGTGCCACGCACACACATAAAACATGTCATGTCCCTTTCATTATGCTATATTCTTTCCTAACTCAATAATAAATAAATGATACATTTTTATTGCAATTAACTAGACAGTTTCGCCATATAAAAACTATTTCATAATAACGATCAGACCACAGTCATTAGCCAACCGTACTAATAGCCCATACCCAGCTCTGGAACCTGGAGCTCTCTTAAGAAATACAGCGTTTGAGGAAAGCAAATGGAAAGAAATGTGGAGACAGGTGCATTCTTGGCTACAAACCTGAACTGTATGGGGACTTTTAACCATCCTGACATAGGACA